TGATGGCCATGGCAGTATCTATTTTGCACTGATCGCCATGGCAGGAGTTTTTATAACCCTGGATGCCATGGCAATTATTATGATAACCCTTGTGGCCATAGCAGCAGTTATTTTAACCCTGATGGCCATGGATGGAGTTATTTTACTCTGATGGCCATGGCAGGAGAAATATAACCCTGGTGGCCATAGCAATAATTATTATGACCCTAGTGGCCATGGCAGTAGATATTATAACCCTGGTGGCTATGGCAATAATTAATATAAGCATGGTGGCCATTGTAGTAGTTAATATAACCTTGATGGCCATGGCAGTAGTTATTATACTCTGATGGCCATAGCAGTAGTTATTATATCACTGGTGGCAATAGCAGAAGTTATTATAACCTTGGTGGCCATGGAATTTGTTATTATAATCCTGGTGGCCATTGTGGTGGTTATAATGCCTTGATGGCCTTGACAGAAATGTTTATAACCCTGGTGGCCATGGCAATAGTTATTATAAACCTGGTAGCCAGGGCTGTAGTTATTATAACCTTGGTGTTCATGGCACTATTTATTATAACACTGACGGCCATGGCATTATTTATTAAATCCCTGGTGGCAATGGCAATAGTTATTATAACCCTGGTGGCCATTGTAGTAGTTATTATAACCCTGATTGCCATGGCAGTAGTTATTATAACCCTGGTAAACAGGGTAGTAGTTATCATAACCTTGGTGGCCATAGCACTAGTTATTATAACCCTTGTGGCCAGGGCTGTAGTTATCATAACCTTGGTGTTCATGACACTATTTATTATAACACTGACGGCCATGGCAGTAGTTATTTTATCCCTGGTGGCCATGACAGTAGTTATTATAAACCCTTGTGTCCACAAGAACATAAGAAACATCAGAAAATAAGGAGTCTGCATTAGGCCGGTTGGCCTGTGCATGGCAGCTCCTGTCGAGAGTTGCTTCCACTCTCTATCTCCCATTAAGCTATCTAGCCTCCTTTTAAAACTTTACAGCGTTATCATAAGCCTGGTGGCCATGACAGTAGTTCTTATACTCTGAGGGCCAGTGCAGTAGTTATTAAAACCCTTGTGGCAATGGCAGTAGTTACTGTAACCCTGATGGCCATGGATACAGTAATTTTACACTGATGGCCATGGCTGTAGTTATTATAACCCTGGTAGCCGTGGTAGTACTTATTATAACCCTGGTGGCCATAGCAGTTGTATTGTAACCCTGGTGGCCATGGTAGTTTTTATTATACCCCTGATGGCCATAACAGTAGTTATTATGACCCTGGTGGCCATGGCAGTAGTTATTATACTCTAATGACCTTGGCAGTAGTTATTATATCCCTGGTAGCCATGGTGGTGTTTATAATGCTCTGATTACAATGGCAGGAATGTTTATAACCCTGGTAGCAATGGTAGCATTTCTTTAACCCTGGTGGCCATGGCAGTAGTTATTATAACCCTGATGGCCAAGGCAATAGTTATTATTCTTTGATTGCCGTGGCAGTAGTTATTATTACCCTGGGGGCTATGGCAGTAGTTTTTATAACCCTTGTGGCCTTGGCAATTGATTTTATAACCCTGGTGACCACGGCAGTAATTATTATACTCTGACAGCCATGACAGTAGTTATTGTAACCCTCGTGGCCATGGTGGTAGTTATTATACACTGGTGTCCATGGCAGTAGTTATTATAACCCTGATGACCACGGCAGTAGTTATTATACTCTGACAGCCATGACAGTAGCTATTGTAACCCTCGTGGCCATGGTGGTAGTTATTATACTCTGGTGTCCATTGCAGTAGTTATTATAACCCTGATGACCATGGCAGTTGTTATTATACTCTGATAGCAATGGCAGTAGTTAGTATAACCCTGGTGGCCGTAGAAGTAATTATTATAACTATGGTGGCCATGGCAGCAGTTAGTATAGCCCTGGTGGTCATGGCAGTATTTATTATAACCCTGGTGGCCATACCAGTTGTTACTATTACCCTGGTGGTCATGATAGTGGTTATTATGCCTTGATGGCCATGGCAGGAGTTATTATAACCCTGGTGGCCATGGCAATAGTTATTATATTCAGTTGGCCATGGTAATAGTTGATATAACCCTGGTGGCTGTGGCAATAGTTTTTATAACCCTGATGGCCATCACAGTAGTTTTTAAACTCTGATGGCCATGGCAGTAATTATTATAACCCTGGTGGTCATAGCAGGAGTTATTATAACCCTGGTGGCCATGGCATTATTTATTATAACCCTGGTGGTCATGGCAGAATTTATTTTAACCCTGTTGGCCATGGCAGTTATTATTATAATCCTGGTGGTCATATCAGTGGTTAGTATAACCCTGATGGCAATGGCAGTTTTTATTATAATCCTGGTGTCCACAGTAGTGTTATTATGACCTTGGTGGCCATGTCAGTCGTTATTATAACCCTGGTGGCCATGGCAAAATTTATTATATTCCTGGTGGGCATGGTAGTAGTTATTATAATCCTGATGGTCATTGCAGTTGTTATTATACTCTGGTGGCCATGGTAGTAGTTATTATAACCCTGGTGGCCATTATAATAGTTATTATAACCTTGGTGGCCAAGGTAGTAGTTATTATAACCCTGGTGACCATGGCAGTAGTTATTATGACACTGGTGGCCGTAGCAGTAGTTATTATAACCCTAGTGGTCATGGTAGTAGTTATTATAACCCTGGAGATAATGGCTGTAGTTTCTATACTCTGATGGCCATGGCAAGTTATTATAATCTTGGTTGCATGGTAACAGTTATTATAACCCAGGTGGCCATGATAGTTGTTATTATATCCCTGGTGGCCATGGTAGTAGTTATTATAACCCTGATGGCCATGGCAATAGTTATTATAACCCTGGTGGTCATGGCAGTAGTTATTATAACCTTGGTGGCCGTAGCAGTAGTTATTATAACCCTGGTGACCATGGCAGTTGTTATTATAACCCTGGTGGCCATGGCAGTAGTCAATATAACCCTTGTGGCCATGGTAGTAGTTATTATAACCCTGGTGGTCAAGGTAGTAGTTAGTGTAACCTTGGTCGCCATAGCAGTAGTTATTATAACCCTGGTGGCCATTGCAATATAAATTATAACCCTGGTGGTCATTTCAATATTAATTATAACCCTGTTTGCCATGGTAGCAGTTATTATAACCCTTGTGACCAATACAATATATTTTATAACCCTGGTGGCCACGGTAGTAGTAATATAACCTTGGTGGCCATTACTATTTATATTATGACCATGGTGGCCATGGTATCCATGGTAGTAGTTATTATAACCTTGGTGGCTGTAAACGCCTTAGTTAAGGACGTTCAGGTGACGGGCAAGTCGAAGGGAATGATTGAAACCCGTCTTTTGACGCATTCAATATTTATTGATGTGGTCAAAACCTGCAGACAACAAGGCGTTCATTAGTATTACATGGTGATCTATCTGATACTTAATTAGTTAGTCTCACACAATTTATCTTAATTATAATTGATTATTGATCATAATGACATCATACAAAGTTCATAACTCTATTAATCTTAGCTACACTTCATTCAGCGTTGTCTTATTGCGCCAGATAAGGCAGGAATGAGTGGGAATAATTAGTCCACAATATTTCAGTACTGAGGGGTATGTCATCACTTGGCTGTACTTACAAGTGCCGGGTCAATGCGAACCAGTATGGTGTTCCAAGGGAAGATAGTACTGTGTAAATTGTTCCAATTCAAAAATTTGGCCAGGATTGGGAATTGTTGTTCACCACTGCTAGCAGAGGGCTGGGCGTCACAGCATCACTTGAGGGGGCAGTCTCCTAGAGTCCAGGTGGCCACGCCGCCTTTTAAACCATACATTTAGCAGAGTCAGGACCTCTTCTCCATAAACACCGTCCACCCCCTATCTTTGTTCCGGTAAGGCAGCAAAAACGTCAGCACTGACACCAGTGCTGACGCCAGCGGTGATAACACTCCCAGCGATGCCAGCATTTATGCCAGTGGCGATGACACTCCCGGTGGTAAACAACGCCCCCAGCTGCCACATCTGTCGAGGTAACAGGTTGCATGGTGGGGGGGGGACATCACTCGAGAGGGCTATCTGTGTCATGAGAGCCATGCCACCCTCTCAGCGCTCACGCCAGTGATGATGACACTCCCAGTGGTAAATACCGCCCCCTCCCCCCCCCCCAGTTGCCACACCTGGTGTGGTAATAGGCCGCATGGGTGGGAGGGAGGTTGAGGCACGTGGTCGCAGGCTGAGATCTAATGTTTTGTTAAGCAAACGTCAGCTCTGACACCAATGATAAAACCCAGCTGCGATAACAGTGGCCATTACAATTTATATTATGACCATGGTGGCCATGGTAGTAATTATTATAACCCTGGTGGCCATTACAATATATATCATAACCCTGGTGGTCATTGCAATATAAATTATAGCCCTGGTGGCCATGGTAGTAGTTATTATGACCCTGGTGGCCATTATATTAGTTATTATGACCCTGGTGGCCATCACAATATATATTATAACCCTGGTGGCCATGGTAGTAGTTATTATGACCCTCGTGGCCATTAGGATATATATTATAACCCTGGTGACCATGATAGTAGTTATTATAACCCTGGAGGCCATTACAATATATATTATAACCCTGGTGGCCATGGTCGTGGTTATTATAACCCTGGTGGCCTTGGTAGTAGTTATTGTAACCCTGATGGCCATTACAATATATATTATAACCCTGGTGGTCAAGGTAGTAGTTATTATAACTCTGGTGGCCATGGTAGTTATTATAACCCTGGTGGCCATTACAATATATAATATAACCCTGGTGGTCATGGTAGTTGTTATTATAACCCTGGTGACCATGGTAGTAGTTATTATAACCCTCGTGGTCATGGTAGAAGTTACTATAACCCTGGTGGCCATGGTAGTTATTATAACCCTGGTTATCATATAACACAAATTTTTTAACAGACCCTGGTGGTGGCGGTGGCGCGGGGTCTGAGGTAAGCAGTGGGGGCAGCCGAGCGAGCGATAGGGAGTTGCTGGCGATTTTGATGAACCGCCTGGTGGCCATGGAAACCCAGCTCTCCCACGCCCGCCAGTCTCTTAAGCAGAGAGATTTCCACATCGCCGTGTTAGAGGAGAAAGTAAGGTGAGTCATGATGACGGGTTTATGGTGCCACACCTGCGCTAATGCTTCACCTGTTATGGTGTTTCACCTGTGGTGGTTTTTCACCTATGCTATTGCTTCAACTGTGCTAGTGATTCATCTGTGCTAGTGCTTCAAGTGTGCTAGTGATTCACATGTGCTAGCGCTTCACCTGTGCTAGTGCTTAAACTGTGCTGGTCATTCACCTGTGCTAGTGCCTCACCTGTGCTAGCGATTCACGTGTGCTAGTGCGTCAACTGTGCTAGTGATTCACCTGTGATAGTGCTTAAACTGTGCTGGTCATTCACCTGTGCTAGTGTTTCAACTGCACTAGTGATTCACCTGCCCTGCTAGCCATACTTAAGATTGCTACATCGTTACATCTGTACGAAGACGACACTAGTGGATGATACACCTATACTAGTATCACCTGTAATTGCGTTACACCTGTACTGATACCATATATGGGCTTGTTGTTGTGATCTTGTCCAGTAGATAGCGTTAGTAGTTCATGTGTGTGTCAAATTAGTTACTACACACTCCCCGTCATTCATCAACTTTACCTTCTCTTAACTGTATTAATCTCCTTTATTGAAATTCATTTAGGGTGAGCTGTAGTATACTGTGAGCAGATCATCTTCGTATTTACCTGCTAACATAAAGCTACATAAGCTGACAGTGAGAGCTTCGTTTACCGTTTTACCATAAAATTTGATTTAGAATCTGGAAAAAAATACAAGAATATTTAGACTCCCAAACTGTGGTGTTTACGTTAATTCAAGTCAGATGTGAATATGATTAAATGGGCGACTCTTCAAGATATCACGAGCCAGGAAGAGTTTCGTAATTATCAAGGAGTTATTTGGAGAAGATCGGTGGTGTCTTTATATGCTCATTGGTGTGATACAAATTTTGTATAAACTGATAATTCACGTTGGTTCATGCGAACTCTATTTTGAGTTACGTGATGTATGAGTAAAGGCAATATAGATCAGGTAAATTTCTAAAACTAAAGAAAACTGAACCAGCAGTTTTCCAGCTTACTTCACAACCATAAAGCAATGAGCTAATTCAACATGTTTCTATTGAGAAATGATGGTGAAATGGTTGTCATCCTGGCTGGCAGTTCTTTTTTCCCGGGACCGATTACCCATAGAGAAGAGAATGTGTGATTGATATAAGACATAAACCAGTATAAAGCCATAGACTGTTCACATATATCCACACTATAGTGGAAGCTTTTCTTGAAATACACCACCACCACTACTACCTACACAACCACCCCACCACTACCTACACCACCACCACCACCACCACTACCTACACCACCACCACCACTACCTACACCACCACCCACCCACACCACCACCATCCACAACCACCACCACACCACCACCCACCACCACCACCACCACCACCACCACCACACCACCATTCCACCAACACCACCACCAACCACCACACCACCACACCAACCCACACCACCACCACCACCCACCACCCACCACCCCACCACCACCCCACCAACCACCACCCCACCACCACCACCACACCACCACCACCACACCACCACCCACCACCACCCACACCACCATTCCAACACCACCACACCACCAACACCTGCCACCCACACCACACCACCAATCCACCACCACCACCACCACCAATCCACCATCACCACCCACCACCAATCCACCACCACCCACACCACCACCACCACCACACCACACCACCAACCCACCACACCCACACCCACCACAACACCACCATACCACCACCACCACCACAACCTACCACACCCAACCACCACACCAATCACCACCCACCACCTCACCACCACCACCACCACACCACCATACACCACCACCAACTCACCACACACCACAACCCACCACACCAACCACCACCAACCACCACCACCCATCACCACCCCACCCAACACCACCCACAACCACACCGCCACCCACACCACCACCACCACCCACACCACCACCACTCCACCACACCAACCCACACCACCCAACCACCACACCACCCAACCACCACCACCACCACCCAACCACCATTAACCACCACCCAACCACCACCCACACCACCTCCACACCACCAACCCACCACCACCACCACCAACACACCACCACCACTACCACCACCACAACCCCACCACCAACTACTACCCAACCACCAATAACCACCCAACACCACCCACCAACCACTCCAACTAATCCACACCACCAATCACCAATCACCAACCACCAACCAACCCCAACACCACCCACCACCACCACCGTCCCACCACCACAACCACCACCCACCCACCCCACCACCCACACCACCAACCACACACCACCCACACCCACCACCACCCAATACCACCCAACCACCACCACCACCTACCCACCCACCCACCCCACCACCACCCACAACCCACCACCCCACCACAACCCACACACCACCAACCCCACCACCACCCACACACCACCAACCCAACACCACCCACACCACCAAGCACCCCACACCACCACCAACCACTTCTCCACCACCACCCACCCACAACCACCCACCACCACCACAAATACAACCCACCACCCACACCACCACACCACACACCACCACCACCACCAACCACCAACCAACCACCACCCACACCAACCACCACCACACCACCACACCACCCAACACCACACCACCCAACCACCACCACCACCCACCACCCCAACCACCAACCACCAACCACCACCACCCACCACCCATCACCACAACCTCACAACCCCCAATCCCAATTCCACACCACCCACAACCACCACACCACCCACAACACCAACCAACACCAACCACACCACCCCAACACCACCCACCCCCACCACCACCACACCAACCAATCCACCACCACCCCACCACCACGCACAACCACCACCCAACACCCACCCACAACCACCACCAACCAACACCACCACCACCTCCACCACCACCACACCCACCACCACCCACACCACCCAACACCACCACAACCACCCAACCAACCTAACCCACACCAACCACCCCACCACCACCACACCACCACCACCACCACCACACCACCAACACCACAACCCACACCACCACCCCAACACCACCCACACCACCACCACCACCACCCACACCACCAACCCCAACACCACCCACACCACCACCGCCACCCGCAACCACCACCACCACCATCAACACCACCACACCAACCACCACCCACACCACCACCACCACCCACCACCACCACCACCCACCAACCACCACCACCCACACACCACCACCACCACCACCCACACCACCCCCACCACAACCCACACCCCACACCACCAACACCCACACCACCACCACAACCCACACACCACCACCACCACACCACACCACCACCCCACCGCAACCCACACCACCACTCCAACACCACCACACCACCAATCCACCCCACTACCACACCACCCGCAACACCACCCACACCATACCACAACCACCACCCCCAATCACACCACCAACACCACCACCACCACCCCAACACCATCTACCACCACCACCACACCACCACCACCACCACCACCACCAACACTCACCACACCACCCACACCACCACCACCACCACACCACAACCACCACCACCACCACACCACCACCACCACCACCACCCACACACACAACCCACACCACCAACCCACCACCACCAACCACACCACCCACCACACCCACCACCACTACCTACACACCACCACCCACCACCACCCACACCACCACCACCACCCCACCCACCACCCACCACCACCCACACCACCACCACAACCACACCACCCCCAACACCAACACCCCCACCACCACTCCACACCACCACCCACCACACCACCCACCACCACTACCTACACAACCACTTCCAACACTACCTACACCACCACCTCCATCACCACGTCACGTCAATCATAGGCAAGTTGCTAGAGTCAATTATTGCTACAAAAATCAGAAGCCACCTTGAAACATTCAACTTAATTTATTCTTCTCAGCACGGGTTCACCCAGGGACGTTCTTGTCTCACAAATTTGCTTAGCTTTTTCTCAGAAGTATATGAAGCGGTAGATAATGATAAGTCATATGATATAATTTATTTAGATTTCAGTAAAGCATCGATAGAGTCCCTCATGAGAGATTGATATGAAGGTAGAAGCACATGGAATAGGTGGATCAGTATTAAAATGGATTAGGTCATGGTTAACTGGTAGGAAACAAAGAGTCAGCATAAATGGATTAAAGTCAGACTGGGGTGCGGTCAAAAGCGGAGTTCCCCAGGATCTGTATTAGGCCCTCTGCTGTTTGTTATATCATTAATGATCTTGATTTAGGCATAACTAGTAGGATTAGTAAATTTGCAGATGATACCAAAATGGGGAGAGTGATAATTCAGACAGTGACTTTGAACACCTTCAAAGAGATCTAGATACCTTACATGAGTGGTCAGTAGACTGGCAAATGAATTTTAATACTGATAAATGCAAGGTACTACAGATAGGGAAGACGAATACAAACGTTAAGTATAAACTAGGTAACACGGAAATAGAAAACTCAGTTTGTGAAAAAGATCTAGGTGTATTTGTTAGCAAACGACTTGAAACCTAGAAACAATGTATTAGCGTTCGCAACAAGGCAAACAGGATTCTTGGGTTCATATCTAGGTCTGTGAGTAACAGAACTGCTGACGTTATCTTGAAACTTTACCTAGCATTAGTGAGGCCACACATGGATTATGCGGTTCAGTTCTGGTGTCCTTATTATAGAATGGACATAGATTCTTTGGAGAGAGTACAAAGAAGAATGACAAAAATGATCCATAATATTAGAAACCTTCCATATGAAGAAAGACTGAAAAGCTTAGGCTTACATTCATTAGAGAGGCGTAGAGTTAGGGGAGATATGATAGAGGTGTACAAGTGGGTAAGTGGGATTAACAAGGGTAAAATGGAAGATGTTCTGAAGCTCAGTAATAACGAAATAACTAGAACAAATGGCTTTAAATTAGATAAATTCCGATTCAGAAAGGATATAGGCAAGCACTGGTTTGGTAATAGAGTTGTGGATATGTGGAATAGGCTACGAGTGCTATAGTAGGATCGGGGACGCTAGGGAGCTTCAAGACGAAGTTGGATAGGCACATGGAAGTGCTGGGATGGGTGTGAAAGGGATCTGCCCTGTATGGGCCAGTCGGCCTCCTGCAGTATCCCACTTCTCTTATGTTCTTATGTTGTTCTCCATGTTATGCACTGCACACCAACCACCAACCCAACCACCACCACACCACCACCAATAACCCACAACCAATCAACTCCAACACCAATCTACACCAACTCCAACCACCCCACCAACCAACCACCACCACTACCAACCAACCCAACCACCACCAACACCAACCACACCACCCCACCACCCACACCACTCCAACACCACCCACACCACCACTCCACCACCACCACAACCACCACCACCACCACCTGCACACCACCATTTCAATCACTCAATTCACCAACCAACACCACTAATCACCACGCACCAATCAATCCAACACCACCACACTAACACTACCCCACTCACACACACCACCACCAACACTACCTACACCACCACCACTACCAACACCACGCCCCCCCACCACTACCTACACCACCACTCCCAACACTACTTACACCATCATTATAACTTTGATGTGGCCTGAAAGTATATCAGGGTGATCCTAATTAGATACTGACCCTCAGGTTGTACATGAAGGCGGAAGAAGACGCAGTGGGGAGCAAGATGGGCTTCTTGGAAACACTGAAGGACACCAGAATGTCCTCCGTCGAGGAGAAGTGTCGCAAGCTGGAGCGTCAGGTCATGGAGATGGAGGTGAGGTGTGTGTGTGTGTGTGTGTGTGTGTGTGTTTGTGCTACATAACTAACCTCAGGGTGTACTGATAACAAAGCCTCCTGGTTTAGTTCGGGATGGCTTATAAATATGAATCAATTAATCAAATATGGCAGTGACTGAGTACTAGAGGCAGCATGGTCAATGAATATCAGTAGAAAATGGTAAACAATAAACATGGCCACAAGCGACCAAAGTGACATAGGCCCCGAAAGACACAAGGATCAGTTAATTAACATGATGTACAGTACTACCATGGTATTCATAGTGATGTATACCTTAATATAATTAAGTCAACTGTAACATACGAAGGTAGTAGTATAAGATGCCTCTTATGCATATGTATACTGTACTCAAAAAATCCTATGGAAATAACATAGAATTTGTGACATGTTCACATGTCAATTATACAATGTTTCCTAAGCTTATTACATTCATTGTATAACCATATGCTGTAGGGTGTGCATAAGAAATCATAAATATTCTATGTACACATTTTCAGTTGGTGCCAAATAATTTAATTTGTTTAACTTCCAGCTTTTTTTAATTGATTGACATTTAAACGGATGCTCAATAGATTAGAAGTTACCTAGATGCTGGTTCTTTTCCTCATCCTTTGTCAGTGCACCATTGAATTTCTGAATGAGAGCTACACCACGTTCAGCAAGGTCTTTAACAACCTTTAAGCTCAGAACAATGCCCTGAGGAGTAGTGTAGGTTGTTGTGCCTAAGCAATTTTCAGGATCCTCGACTAACGTGTCAGTTGGAATTTGGAGAATTGTGAAAAAGTTCTTCTTCCGGGTAATGCAAAGTCGGCTTGTGTTTTTTTCCTGTTGAATTAAAGTGTTAAATTCTGCGCAGAATATCTTCAGAGCAAGGCATCTCTTTTTAAATTGTTGACTATCTCCATTTAATATTATGAGAGCCACAGAGTCAAATAGCCAAAGAAACATTCACCTCATGAAGGTACCATAGATGGCTGCTGAATAATGTAAAGAGGGCACCAGCTTTCGCATTATTTAAGGTACAGTACACATAACAATGATGAAGTTGAAATTGAATAAATTCTGACATATAACAGTGAAACTTCCACCTGTTGATCGAGAAGGTGATGCCCTTGACTGGAGCTGGAACAAGTCGCTGAACACACACATTTCAGAGCATAAATTTCACGTAAGCCTTCTTGCCAGACATACAGTGCATTGAGCATTCAGTAAATATAAACCAATGTCGACGAAATTTTGCAAATATAACTTTATCTTGAAAATTCAATAAAGGTGTACTGTGTGTGATCATGCAAATTCATTTTTAATTTGTAGCCCTATGCGGTGGGTGCACCCTAATTATAAAAAAAGTAACCTATAAGTAAAAATAAATAAAGTACAACACCTTGGTGTCCACAAAAGCCTGTTACGGTTTTAAAATGTTCTTTAAAAAAAATAATGAAAATTTTTGCATATTATTGCATAACAAATCGAGTTTTATATGTTGTTCCGTGCACCCCAACATGTGCACCATTAGTGGACCGTAGTATATCCAACCGATACTCCACTTCAATCATATTGGTCAACATAGCTTTTGTCACTCTCCTGATGCCATCGGTTATTTTTGTAGTAGGCAGCTACCAAACAGGGAGGTACTACCGCCTGGGAAGATATTGGAAGCATAATGTATTGTCTAATGGTAGACCCTACTGCCATATGGCATCACGAAAATTGTGACCAAGTCCCAGGTTGCTGAACTGACTTTCTGCCTCATTTACACACAATTGCAGCGTCTCAATTGTTTCTCTTACCATTGACAACACAACATACATATATTGTTTCTCACTCTTGATCTTTTTTTTTTAATTTTTGTATTTCTTTATAGTTCTTTATTATTATTATTATTATTATTATTATTATTATTATTATTATTATTATTATTATTATTATTATTATTATTATTATTATTATTATTATTTTATTATTATTATTATTATTATTATTATTATTATTATTATTATTATTATTATTATTATTGCAGTGTTGTTTATATTATTATTATTATCATTGTTATTTTATTATTTTTATTTTGTATTTTTTATGATAAATATTACTTATCTGAATTATTATTATTATTATTATTATTATTATTATTATTATTATTATTATTATTATTATTATTATTATTATTATTATTATTATTATTATTATTATTATTATTATTATTATTATTATTATCATTATTATTATTATTATTATTATTATTATTATTGTTATTATTATTATCATTATTATTATTATTATTATTATTATTATTATTATTGTTATTATTATTATTGTAGTGTTATTATTATTATTATTATTATTATTATTATTATTATTATTATTATTATTATTATTATTATTATTATTATTATTACTATCATTATTTTTATTATTACAATTATTATTATTACATTTTCGCCCCGCAGGCCCCGATGTGGGTCAGTGACCTATGCCGGGGTGGGCTAATCCCCGTAAAAAAAAAATGTGATTCAATGTCAGCAACTTGGGTCTAGAAGAAATGGTTGTAACTCTTCCTGTCTCCCGAAACTTGTGAAACCTTTTTGCCTCCTAATGCTTGGTTTGGAGGGAGGGTCCTTTCCATATTGACGGCTGTAATTCTGCTGAACAGTTGTCACTGATCTTGACTGTTGCCAGCCAGAGAACACATTGAGCTTTCTCTTGCTTTTTCGTCATCTTCATTCAGGTTTTTACTGTTAGCAACTACAGACATAGACTACTAGCTGTAAATAGAAAAAATCCTTGGTTAAGCAACAAAATGCAAATCACTGCACAAGTCCTCTTTTTAACCTTATTGTCATAAAACCAGAACAGAATTTCCCATATATCCAGTACATCAATGGTGCCCGAGGTCACAGTCAATATAATTATTATTGACAATACTAAGAATCGAACGATTAATTCCATTTTTTTATAAATTAAAATCTAATCAAATAATATAGCACAGTAAGTCTATATATACTGTACTGTATATTATATTTTCAAAGCAGCTTTAGATTTATAAGATCAATTTTAACTTCCTGAGAACTTTAACGCTTAATCACAAATACTAAAATTTGATCAGCATAGCAAACTAGCCACGTGAAATCTGGCCTCAGAGCAATTATTATCAGCTACAGTGGCTGAGGTCATGGCTTAAATAACCACCTCATTTAACTTACTTTCTTGATTGTACTCAACAAGGTGTGTGATGGAGGACCACACACTGCATCACACCCTTAGCTTACTGGAATGTTCATCCTGAATAAAGTTTGTTATTGACACCTTGTTTATGTATGATAATATGATCCGTTTCTTATAATAAGGACAACTAGTGTGGACTACGCAACTTCAATACTTCTCAATTCTCATTGACAATTTGAGCAGCTGCTGGTTTAATGAACGCTCAGCCCTACAAACGAATGAATTACCTCATGTATTTAAAGACATCCTCATCGCTTCACCTGGTAAATTAATCATATTGAACAGCAAACGCAATAAGACAATGTTTATATATGTATTTTGTTCAAACAACACCGAAAATGTTATTTTCACCCCGAGAGAAATTTTAAGTCCGGAAGTTTCTTTGTTTGTTTCTGACGAAGTAAAAATAGTATAAGCATCCCAAGTGTCAGCTTTTTATGTTTAAAAGCGGATTAGGCAAAAAAAGAATCCTCATAGAGACACACAAACGCACTATTTAAGAGGGGTAGCTCATAGCCAATGTCCGTACTTGGCCAAAATTAAGTACACTGTTTTTTTTATTGAAGGAGCTCTCATCTTTGGAGGTCCCACTGGGGCCCTCCCCAAAAATTCTACCTTCCTGACACTTGTAGGATGTATCTCTAAGATAAATTTCAGATCTCTATCTTCAAAAGCGTGGTCGTGATATAGGAAACTAAGAGGCATCGTGCTTTATATATAGAGATATAATTCTATATACTTGTATAATGCCTTGAAAATTGTACTTCTTCGTGGTCCTCTTTCATCATAGGAGGACTTCACTCCTCTGGGGACTGCGTTCAGCTCCTGATATTTATTGTCTGTTCTTGTATTAGCAGTAGCACAGTACAGCATATGAGAGGTTTGTTGGCTACAGATTCTGAGGGAGCGTACGATTATGTGGAACAAGTGAGTGAATGGGAGACTGAGCGTGTGGGAGAGTGATAGAGAAGTGAAGGAGTAAACAGAGTTTGTTTCAGACACAGAGGATCATTGGTTTTATTGGTTGCAGAGATTCCTTGGGGAGTACGGCATGGTGTGGTGCGAGGCAGAGGAGACCTACTTGTTGGACAACCCCGTCAACGCCTCTTGCAGCTACTCGTCATCGGAGGCCACCACGCCCAACATCACGCCATCACACACACCCCGGGCACACCCACGGGTCAGGATCAAAAGACATAGAAGGTCAGCGTACATTAGTAACCCACTGATTAACTCCAGCGATCATCTTCGTCATCACCTGCCAGTAGATTGATCTATTCTAATGGTCATCTTCGCCTCGTCTCTCTGGAACTAATTCATCCTGATCGTCACCTGAACCTCACCTTAGCCTCACCTTACCTAACCCATTCTAGTGGCCACCCTCTTGTAATATGCTTATGTACTGGATTCATAAAGATTTATACGTCAAAAAGTTTGAACCTCATAGAGCTCTAAATAGATAGACAGAGAAAGGTAGGAATTGAGATAGATAGAGAGATAGAAAGGTAGGGACATGGGACTTGAATGTTAATTTTTTGAAAATACAATTAATTAAAATAAAAATATGGATGAAATAATCCTCTGGGTAGCAACCAAAGCTTCTATTGAAGACCCAGGCTTGTTGGAATAGAATATTTAACTCGCACATTACTGGTTGAGTGCCTTCACAGGAGTGGTTACAGATTTCTATGAGTGTATTTTGTAGCACTCAGACATACACCAGTTCCTTCACTCACATTTGGCAAAGGTACTGTGATTCTACTTAGTTACTGACTATATAAATGTTGTACACCAGTCAACACAGCAGATGATAAAATGCAGTTCTTGCCGATTTCATCCCGAATGTCATTTTGAGTTACTAGGTGGGGCTTACTGGCGTGACTCCTTAACTAATTGTTTCTATGTGATTCCCCGCGCCTGTAGAGGCAGTTATTGCATGAACACGCAAGGTAAGCAATGGATGTAATGTTCGCATTGCACAATAAGTTATTTTGCTTTAGTGTGGAAAGACCAAGTAATCCATCCGCTGGCAAGGATAATGCCTGTATTGTGTAGAAATCCGCCAGAAAAGCATTACTGGACCTAGAAAAACGGATTGGCAATGCTGTCACCCCCCCCCCCCCGTTACTTTTAATTAAATTCCTAACACACCAGGCAGAGGAATGTCTGTAGGTCTTACTGGCCACTTATTAGGAGGATACCACATCTTTAATTCGCTTAACGACGCCAGTGAGATAACATCTGCACAGGCTCCCGTATCAATGTCTAGGGATAACTGTTACCTATTCTTGCTGTTACAGTCAACTCCTCCACCTTGTTTAATGCGGAAATTAATGAACCCGTCAGGGAAGCGTTGTGTTCTTGATCCTTTGTGTCATGCCATGACTATGGACCAGCTGGCTAAGGACTCGTTGGCTGGTTCAAGCAGCAATTACTGAAGTCAATCAACGCCACAGTGCATCATAGCCCGAACCATCACCCGGTGACAGATGGAACTCCTGGCAGGCCCGGTCAACACTTACTGCCGTGCGCCGTGTGCTGTAGTAGTACTGCCGTGAACCGTGTGCTGTGTTACTCCTATAGTGTGTGTGGTGCTGTAGGAGTACTGCCTTGAGCCGTGTGCTGAAGGAGTACTGCCGTGAGCCATGTGATGTAGGAGTACTGCCGTGAACCGTATGCTGTAGGAGTACTGCCATGAGCCGTGTGCTGTAGGAGTCCTGCTGTGGGAGTCCTGCCGTGAGCCGTATTCTGTAGGAGTACTGCCATGAGCCGTGTGCTGTAGGAGTCCTGCTGTGGGAGTCCTGCCGTGTGTGTGTGGTGCTGTAGGAGTACTGCTGTGAGCCGTGTGCTGTAGGAGTACTGCCGTGAGCCGTGTGCTGTGGGAGTCCTTCCGAGTGCTGTGGGAGCACTGTCGTGCGTCGTGGGAGTGTTGCCGTGTGTCATACCAGTGTTGTGCGTTTTAATTATTAAATAGTTAAGTCCACCCTTATACGTTGTTAATACCAACCCTATTATTCTACTGGAAATAGCATAACACTTTGACACTATCCTAAATCTGGTTGCTGGACACACCCATCTTCCCCGGAAGATTGTTGACGTAACTCTCGTCGTTCTGTGTACTCCTTTTGTTGTGGTTGTATGGCTTTGCAGTCTTTCGGATTATGAGTATGGGAGTCATGCAGTACACACCATTGATTTTAAGTGCCCTTTGTGTTTGGAGGCATTTTATTCACTTGTTTTTACTTCCCCACGGAATGCGCGTATTTATATCGATTTTTATCAGTTATATTCAGTTATATAAATGAGTTGGAATATATCCAGCCATACAAATTGTAGTTCATTACCTATTGTGCAGTATGTTTGGTATCATTTGTTTCTGTTTGCTTTATGTTTGGCACAAAACAAAGAAATAATGAAATGGTTTCATTCGAAAGCGAATTTCATCTTTGACTTCGACCTTGTACGGTAAATATTTAGAATTTTCTAACATCCTCTCTGAAGTGCTAATGCTTTGAAATCATTTGCATTATGATATTCATGATATTTAACATTATTTTAGAGAATAACAGGTCTGCTTATCAACTGTGAACACATTTAGTTTGAATAATTGGACAGCTACACGAACATTTTCTTTGAACCAATCAGCTATATTTATAGAAGAGGGGCGTGGCTTACGGGCCAGGGTAGCGTGAAAATGCTGTAGAGACGCAGCAATGACATTAAGAATTACTCCAAGGCAAAGAGGGATTTCTTTCATAAGAATTTAACAATATAATTTTCTTTTGCGGTGAAATCTGTTCTCAAAGATAAAACGATGGGGATGTTCATTGCTCTGGCAATCGTTGTATACAATAAATTAGTTTTTTCTTATTTCAGGATGATGGTAATGCTGCAGTTTTATACTTTGACTGCAGTCTTAGCATTATTACTGATAATAATCTACAGAAGGCTTGCAGGCCTATTAAAGTAATATGGTTCGGTGACTACAAATTGGCAATCAGTAAATGTATTCAAAAATGAAAATATCTCTTCCTAGTTCTAAGTTCCTTCCCATAATAAATAATTAAGTGTATACAGTAGAGTAATGGTGATAAGTTAGTGTTTTTTTTGTTTTTGTTTTTTTACGGGAATTAGCCCACCCAGGCCTGGGGGGCGAAAATGTAATAATAATAACAACAACAACAACAACAACAACAACAACAATAACAATAACAACAATAATAATAATAATAATAATAATAATAATAATAATAATAATAATAATAATAATAATAATAATAATAATAATAATAAAGAACCACAAAGAAATACAAAATGAAAAAAAATCAAAAGTGAGGAGCAATATATGTATGTTGTGTTGTCAATAGTAAGAGAAACAATTGAGAACATCCAATTGTGTGTAAATGAGGCAGAAAGTCAGATCAGCAACCTGGGACTTGGTCACAATTTTCATGATGCCATGTGGCAGCAAGATCTACCATAGACAACACATTATGCTTCCAATATCTTCCCAGGCGGTAGTACCTCCCAGTTTGGTAGCTGCCTAATACCTACTACCGATACAGTGTACAGTAGACTATAGTATTTCCACGCTATACTGGCCCATAAACCACGCCCCTCTTCTATGCTAATACCTGATTGGTTCATAGAAAATTCAAACTAAATGTGTTCACTATTATTGGTAAGCAGACCTGTTATTATCTAAAATAATGTTAAATATCTGAACAATCAAAAAATGCAAAAGATTTCAAGGCATTATCACTTCAGAGAGGATGTTACAAAATTTTTAATATTTATCATAAAAGGTCGATATAAATACGCGCTTATACATGAGCACATTGCGCAGTCCGGGTGGAGGTAAAACGTTCAGGGGAACCAATCAGCTATTTGTAGCTATAGACGAGGAGCGGGGCTTATGAGCCAGGTTAGCGTGGAAAGGGTATAGTAGTGTTGACTGTTGAAGTAATATACAGTAGACTAGTGGTGATGAGGTAGTTTACAGTAGACTAGTGGCGATGGGGTAGTTTACAGTAGACGAGTAGTGACTAGGTCGTTTACAGACTAGTAGTGATGAAGTCTATTGTAAAATAGACTAATGGTCATGAGGTAGGGTGCCTCAAAGTTATTATATGGGTGTAGACAGTATACTTATATTTCTAAAAGGAATCACAAGAACCGGGAAGTGCGGAGGGTAGTGGCCGAGTCCACCTCTAGGAGCATCTCGTCTGAGGCGGAACCTTTCAGCCTCGACTATGAAAAGCTGCTGGCCGCCATCACTGAGCTGAACATAGTGGCTCAGGGAGACGCTGCCGCCGAGGTAATGTATTCCTTCTCCGTGTTTGTCCTTCACCTGGTCACCTGCTTCTATCATGGCATATAACCTAACCCTTCGTGCTGGAGGCTTTAAAATGAGCTTTTGTAATGAAACCTTCCAATTTTAACGTAACTCCCTATAGATCCGCCTCGCATATCTGAAGTAAGACGAAATGCCTAAAAGTGCAGCTTTATTATTTGACCCACTTGAAGAAAATCATTGTTCTCATAAGTTATTCGTAAGATTATTGTTATATTAACGATTAGCTCGTAGGGCAGGCACCACAACTGTGAATGAGTGGTTACTTTTTTTTAATTAAAATTTAAGGCATTGAGTGCAGTACCAACCATACTGCTTCCTTGTGTAGCGAAGGATTATTATTTAGTGTACCCACACTGTCTCTTATAAGCTGCCAGGATCCTGGGATGCTAAAACTAGTTTGGCAATAACGGAGAAGTGTCCTAGACTTACCACAGTTCACATAGCACTCTTGTAAATACATATTGTTACTTTCTTAGTACGCCTTGTTACTTTCTTAGAACGCCTTGTTACTTTCTTAATACATTTTGTTATTTTCTTAATAAATCTTGTTACATTCTTATTACAACTTATAACTTTCTTACTTAAGATTGTTACTTTCTAATTGCTTCCTTTTACTTTCTTAATAAATCTTGTTACTTCTTATTTTAACTTTTAACTAACTTATTCCAGGTTGTTACTTTCTGATTGCGTCTTGTTACTTTGTTATTACATCGTGTTACTTTCTTAATAAATCTTGTTACTTCCTTCATGCATCGTGTTACTTTCTTAATGAATCTTGTTACTTTCTTATTACATGTTAATACTTTCTTATAACAAGTTTTTACTTTCTTATTGTAGCTTGTCACTTTCTTATTACATCTTGCAGTTTGTTAATTTATTATTGTATCATGCTACTTTCTTATTCCAACTTGTTACTTTCTTATTGCATCTTTCTACTTTCGTGTGACATCTTGCCATCTTCTGACAAACTTATTATTTTCATGTGATATTTTTATTACTATGTTCAAGGTTTAAACTCCTCTGATCTTACTCCTCGTCATATTCACTTCTCTATTATAAAGCTGATAGTTTACAAAGCCAAAGGTCTCCTTTTATATACAAGGTTGTGGATTAACGAAAAAAATCAACGATATCTTCTCCATCATGACAAAGAGTGTTGACCTCTAGCATCTTCTTTAAACACCAATTTACTCTCGTAATACTGTCCCTAGACTCCACCCGGCCGTTTATTGGAGTAATTCTTATAATATATCGGCAATCACATGGAAACTGAAACAGAAAGATGGGTAGTGTGATGGTGGAATGTGGTGATGAGTGGAGTGATAGTGTAGCGTGGTGGTGGATAGTGTGATGGTGGAGTGTGGTGATGGGTGGAGTGATTCACTTTAATCTGATATTCTACAAGTCATAGGCTCATCCGGTGTGGTATGTTATTTCCGGAAGTTTTATCATATCCTTGAAGCGTTTTTCTACATTGTCTTTTTTGACAACAATTATCATTGTCTTAATTATGTCTCATTTGATTTACTCCAAATTCAAATTTTATAACCTTGGCAGCATGCAGGTATGGGCAGTAGTGAAATACATTTACTACACTACACTACACTAATGGTTGCCCCCCGTGTAACGAGGATGACCGGCACAAGGGCCACCTAGGTGTGAATTTGTTTAAGGTGCATGTCTCAGTGTCAAGGAATAGTCAGAGAAGACCGGACAACTCGCCAACTGCACTGGGTAACCATTACTCCGGAACACGTTCCGCAAATCGATTAACATTCAGGTTCCCAATTACTGCTGGGTTAACAGAGGCAAATGGCGAAAAGAGCTCGCCCATGGTTTCACCCTGCCCAGAGATCGAACCCGGGTCCGCTCGCTTGCGAGGCGAGCATGCTGACCATTACACTACAGGTCGTCACACTACACAACACTACACTAAACTACTCAAGTAACTTTTTTTGTACTTTACTATTTTCTCAAATACTCTAAAAATATTTTACTCTTTAATTTTATTAAAGTAAAATTAAGAAAATAAATTGTTTACATCATTATGTTTCTTTCATAAGACTAAATGACGAAAAAAGCTTCCTGGTACCATGGTGATGGCCTTTGTTTATATCATCTGATCGATCAGTGTGCAGCTACTTTTAAGCAGAGCAGGAACACAGCAGCCATTTCCAATCTAGTGTTGATCCCCTGATCTTCATCCCGCTGTGGTTAACTCGTCCTGGAAAGAATATCCGTAGCCTCATTTGGAAAAGTTGGATGAAGGTATATTTTTATTTCTCAAGATCTGCACCAACCATGAGACCAAAGAGTCAGGTGGGATGTTTCAAAATGTTTCTCATCCATCTTGAAGGCATCATGAAGGCAAACACCCCTTTGACCACTTTTGCAGCATGCAAGCAGTTTAGTTCAGTAGGCTCTTGTTCACGCCAAGAAGAGCAAAGCTTTTTGACAACACCTTTGAAAATCAGCTGCTGCTAACAAGTGGACTGGGAGAAGAACTGTACCATTGGTGATATGTTTAATAAAAAAGAAGATTTCACTATAAGTTTGTATTATCAATACTTTACTCTTTACTTTTGTAACTCAAGTATTCATCAATGAAGGGGTACTCTTACCTTTACTTGAAAAGCTATTTAAAATATTAAAAGTACTTTTACTCAAGTAAATAAATATCAGTATTTTACCCGTTTCCGGCATTATGTATAGTAATGTATAATAATTACTGTAGGTATTATTGTTCCTTGGGTGGTTCTGGGAGAAAATTAGTTTCCCTTTACAGTATAAAGGAAGTGTTTTTCCTCATAAATATTGACATCTCCTGAAACACTTTTCGTCATATGCGGAATAATTCTTCCGCGGCGATTGATGTTTACGATAACCAGGCACTGAATTCTGGTTGCGAGCGAAGGAAATGATCCTATTAGATAATATATGAAGACCTCAGTCAACGTGCTTCAGTTTTAATGCATTGTATGTACTGCAAATTGCCATTACTAGTAACCTGCGTTCTTCTGGAATGTTAACAACTGCTTCAACCTGCTTTGGAAATGTTCAACATATGATTGTCTTCTTTCTTTTTATATAAGACCTCGGCAATAATGTAACTATTGTTTTCCTAATTTTGAATGCACAGACTTTAAAGTTATGTTGATTTTCTGATGCTGAAAATTACGTAAAAGAAGTTGATACTGTTTTAGTTACATTTGTTCTTTCTTAAAATACCTTATGCACTTACTTTACAAACTTCGCTCATGTAATCCCCTTCTTTATTAGTACTTGCAGGAGGTATCAGATCATAAATCAGTGTCTGACCCTGTACTAAAGTTATCCTGGGGATTGAGGAAGACGTCTCCAACATCTCCTATGATCAAGGTCTCTTATTATCATTACTATTATTATTACTATATAAATTAATGATGGGAAATTAAAAATCAACTCTACGTTTTCTCCTTCCTCTCCTCGAAGTCTTGGCTCCATTTATGAATGTATTAGGACCTTTATTATGGAGTATACTGAGAAAATTAATTCAATGAAGTTTGAGCAATCATCAAAGGTTGGCCGTCAGGCCTGTGAGAGTCTACAGCTGACACTGTACAAGAACGGCGTCGTAGTGGACGACGGCGGCTTCCGCAGCTTTGAGTCGGTCAAGACAAGACAGTTCCTGCAGGATATCCTTGACGGCTTCTTCCCAAGCGAACTGCAGGACATATACCCTCAGGGGGTTCCTATTAAGGTAAGTCCTCTAAAATATGTTCGATATTGGCAGGACAGAAATTTTACACCAAGTACATTAGTACAGCCTCCCAGGCCCCGATGTGGGTCATTGAACCTGTGCCTGGGTGGGATAAGCCCCGTAAAAAGAAGAAAAAAAAACTTACTGCCTCTCTGTTTACTGTGCATCAGGTACAGCCTTCACTTACCTCACTTAACACTCTATATAGTAGATACATAAAAAAAATTATAAGAAAAAAATCAGGCTCTCGGTATAATACTTTTCGTGTATCATTATTTTATTTAATCGAGATAGGTTTTAGCCCTTTGTCTACGGGAGGTTACCCTAAGCTGTATATAATCGTTTAGGGGTAGCCAGAATAAAGTAGCAAGTGCGGGAATTGCAACGAAAGGGTTTAATGTGGTTCTGCTGTTACTTTCATGGTCATAGTTCAACACGATACATCTTCAGATTTTTATGATATCAGATTCTTATTCCTATGTTGTCTTTGATTCATATTCTACTGAAATCCCTTATTCTTTTTATGCATCCATCTTTATGTCCAGTCCGTGGATCACTCGCATTTCGTGGAACCGCTTCTTCTTCTTCTTCTTCTTCTTCTTCTTCTTCTTCTTGCTATTACTTTTACCTACAATCTGTAACTTGTCCAGGGGAAAATAAATTCATGTCATCAAAGAATTACCTGTGTAAGGTTAGGCTGTTATCATGATCTTTGGTTATTCATGTGAACTGCTCCTTCGTACTGTACATCATGGTATTAGAGCCGTTACAGGGCAATTATGGGCTTTCCATGGTTAAATCGATTGTACTGTATACCATTGCCTGTATACCTGCATTTTTTAGATACATGATGAACCAATGTGAACGTGTATGATGATTTTTCCTAAGAAGTATCTATCTATTGTAAATTCACAATACTGAGTTGTGATACACAGCGAGGAAGAGTCTGGCCGAGTGATGCAGGGAGGATGACAGTGTGAGAGAATAGTACAGCATGTTGATAAGAGATATGTTAATTTGAAGAAGAATGTGGAGATTGAGATCAAGAAGGGTTATAGGCAGAGGCATGTTGGAAACAGAGAGTGAGTGCCATTACCCGCTATGTCGGTCAATACTCCGATACTTGATGGGCAGCTTAAGTAACTATAGTAATGTTTTAAATATTTTGCCTGATAAAATACAGCGTTATTAAGGACATAGCCTGGTGAAAAAATCCCAAAATACACTTACAATTGAACATCAAATGTACTCATTTTAGTGATCTTCTTAACAACAGTAATTGCAGGTTTTTTTTTATATATGTGTGTGTGTGTGTGTGTGTGTGTGTGTGTAGTTACACTTTAACAAGCCAAAAAAGTTGTTATTTCATTAGTCCTCTCAGAATATTTCTATCAGATCACAAATAGTTACCGAAGTGAGACAGCAACCTCGTGCTATCTTCTTCACATACCTGACTCTTTTTATGTTTCAATAGAAAACATGCTGTATAGGCGACTGGATGAATTTTTTTTGTAACTAAATCAATTTTTTTTAAATTAATTATCGCTGCTGAATTGTCTGACATATGATCATCTTTTTCAGGTTCGTGATAAACGACAAGTAATATTTCTACCTAACTCCTCTAAACGTAAGGGGGCGGCCCGGCCTCCTGTACCACCAAAACCTAGAATTCCCATCATTGATTCGATACCTACCGCCTCCTCCCTCACCTCGGTTACTTCCATGTTATTTAGCAGCGTATCAGAGACTGAACCAAAGCCTATGGAGCCTCCAGTCTCGGGTGAAACTAGCGACAGCGCGCCACCCACCGCTCCTATACCTGAAACAACGGGAGATACTACACGACTATGTCCAGAGGTGGACTACCGTAGCGAGTCAAGTGATGTCAGCAGCCGTCGGAACTCTCTACAAAGAGGCAGTGACAAATCCGAGGGTGAGGGAATTGGGAGAGGAGAGAGTGGGCGCCGAGGGAGTGAATTATGGCGGCTATCAGAGGTTCCTAGCGTATCTGCCGTGACCTCTGCTCGTCGTGACAGTCGCAGAGAGAGCGAGTCACGTCGTGGCTCCGATCACCGCACGCACCAGTGCCGCCGTGGCTCAGAGTGCCGCCGCAGCAGTGAATTAGCCAGAACTACACTTGACCTTGATCTGGGCCGTCGTGCTACCTCCAAACATCCCCTTGAATGGAACCGTATCAACCGTACTGCCTTTCTCCTTAGTGACGACACTTTCGACTCTAACGGCAATCATATGCGGCGTGGCAGCCTGGGTGTCATGAGCGCTGACCCATATGACATGGAGAGTCTGAGGAAGAGACGCACGTCAGTAGAAGATTTCCTTGCTAAAGTTCCCACCTGTGTTGTCAAGAATGGCAAGATCGTTAACCTACGGGAAGAGGTGGCTGACATGCTCATGGTAAGTTCTTCAAAATATTCCTGATTTTTTATTTTAGGTTACTGTGACCCACTTTACGAAGATATATATTTTTGATCCACATTTTAGAAAGAACAGCAGGAAATTTATTTTCATATGTTACACAGATAAGTGGCAATGTTTGATGTAATTACTGTTAGTAGGTTCATGAGTGGCAACATGATCAGTGTCAGGTAAGTGTCAGCTTTACGAGCATCAAATACGCTAGTCTCGGGAACATAGCTGTCATAAATGTAAGCGTGAAATATGCGGGTGACAATGAGAATGTAGGTATTATGTACTGTACATACGTATTAGGTATATGATGGTCAGGTACTATACCTCCCAAGGGGCGAGTCAGCCCCGCAAGTTGGATTACAGTTTTGAAGAAGGTCGGGGAAGAATCGTGTACTATCTCCTGTCCTTACGCCTGGCAAAGCCGGGTAACCCACCATTCAGTATATTTGCAGTGTATATATATATGTGTGTATATATATATATATATATATATATATATATATATATATATATATATATATATATATATATATACTAAAGGATGAATAACAGTACCAACGTATGGATAAACAGCAACATTTATTTGGTAACGTTTCGACAAATCTTTTGCCATCACTTTAACCATACAGAGCAAAAACACTAAAATTAAGAAAAGCTTAAATGCTACAAGTGATAATATAAAGACAGGTCACATATGCCACAACAATCAAGAACAAATCATACCCGTTAAAAACAAAGTAATGAAGTGTAGAGTCATGCGTGCCTGTTGCTGGTTGTACTCGGCGGGTGAGGAGCGACTCACGTCATATCGTCAGGGGAAGTGGTAAGGATGATCGGATGTGTGGCTATGGTCTCTGATTGTTAAATAAAGTGGTTTAGACAATGGTTGGTTTGTTCTGAACGAGCGACCCTGATATTCGGCAATTCAAACTCTCAGCTGTCGCTACATTGCAGGGACTACACTTGAATAAATAAGCAACTGAGGATTGCAGTTCATCAGGGACTCGATCTTTTTATTTAAGCCACCTCTGTAGTGTGGTCTTGATCTGAACATCACTCTCAATGACACTTGCGGATAAAATTCACGTAACAACTTGGCTAGTTTGTTTCCGAGGGCATAGGTATAAGAACCTTGGTATTGTAATGAAAAATAAACTATTGCTTTGCTGGCTGTGGTTGGGTGGGTCTGTGGTTTAAGAAGTTTGAAAAGTTGTTTACCTATATAAACATCAATGAAGCTTAATGGAAGGCCATTGAAATTTAAGGATTTCCTAAGGGACTGTAATGTAAGATGTAATTTACAGCATCTTAGCAAATGTTGTAAGTTCTAGGGATTAAGGTGGATATTAGATTCTTTGGGGATCGGTGGTAGAAGCGGTACCGTTCTTGCCTCGCAAGCAAGATGTCACTGGTTCGATTCCCGGGCCGGTGGAAGTTGTTTGGACTTACTTCCTAGCCCCCATTAGTCCCAACCTGTTCACCTAGCAGTCAAGTAGGTACCTGTTGTAAGTCGAAAGTTGCGAATTCGTATTCAGGGAAAGTTGTTGGAGCTTCCAATAACTTGATGACATAAACCACTGACTCTTCAGGCTTCTACGCCCTTAACTCATGAGACATAAAGGCAAGCATGAACTTAGCATGCTTCCCTGTTGGGCGCTGTAAACGCTTCTGCGCTTCACCTTACACAAGGATGTAAGGGAGTGCCCAATAAAAAAAAATTAGATTCTTTTTGTAATGGACAGGTTTTGAAGGACTGGAATTTGGTGGTTTGACTCCACTCTTGCAGTTACCACTCCTCTCTCTTCGAGGTCTGAATCTCAAACACTGAAATCTGAATTCGAAGCATTCGCCAAGTGAGCGGGTGGGAGAGGGGAATGGTGTCTTTCTGTGGGGGACGGGTTACTGGGGGTGAGGAGGAAAGTGTACAGTATTACAATTACTTGATCAGAAAAATCACAAATTACAATTACAATTACATTTACTTGATAGTTTGCATTAAATTGTTTTCTCCAATTTCTTCAAATTTTACAAATGATGAAGTCATTGTTAAAAGTTCGAAATAATAGCAAACGTTTTATTTCATATTTTGTATTTAAACGTAAGGACCTGAACAATGCAAATGAATACCATTGTTATGTTTTCAATTACAGCCATAATATTTGTTACACTAGATCAGCCCGAGATTCAGGAAGATTACAGATAATCTTCACTTCACATGATGTACTTCTCTGTGGTTAGGTCTGAGAGATAATATTTAATAAATTTATGTTTTTCGTTCACTACAATTATACCAGGAAACTGCACCTGCAAGCTGAACAAAATTAGAAGAATTTCTCAGAAGTTACAAATGAGTCTAATTTCACAAAGAGTAAAATAATGAAAATAATAATGACTGTAATGATGGACATCACCTTACATCCATTTTCACATATTACAGATCATTAAGATTCAAGTATGGAAGGAACTCATAGAGTTCTCGGTTACACTTAGTCACATCCAGTACAAGTAATGGACGTGACCCAAACAACGAGAATCACACCAGGATGTACATTTATGCACCATTTGTCGTGTACTTACTCTCGTTTTATCCTTAGCCATAACAGTGTTCCAGTTTTATGACGTAATTTAAGCAGGAATAAGCTTGACAACATTCAGTTATAATTATAATTACGATAATTTTGCAATTTAAATGTACACTTACAATTACAAAATCCCATTTTTTGAATCATTTACATTCAGCTTCAATTACAATTACAATTACGCTTTTACAACACCGACGGTGTTTCCTCAGCTGAGTGTTATCGTCTAGCACCTAACAGATGAAAATAATAAATTACAATAGGATTAAAGTGGGAGAAATTCAGGTTCTAGGAAAAAAAAAAATAAAAAATGGAGTATATATAAGTAAATATGTAATGAATATAAATGATTCTATATCTTCTAGAAACAGTAAAGTTTTGTTTAACCCCTTGACTACGAGGTGGAACTTCCACAGCAGAATAAATTCATCTGGTGATTATCAGAATAAAATAGATAAGAAGACATCGTAGTGAAGGGATTAATTAGCAATCAAAACAGCCAGTAAGTGGGCACCACATACTTATTATGTTACAAACTTGATGTGAACAGAAATAGTTCAGTTGGCAGCTGTCCGGTTTATAATCAACAAACCACATAGTTCAGTTGTGCCAAACAGTGAGGTTAAATGGGTAAATATTATTATTATTATTATTATTACTATTATTATCATTATTATTATTATTATTATTATTATTATTATTATTATTATTATTATTATTATTATTATTATTATTATTAGTATTGTTATTAAATGGCCAATTTATGGTGAAAGGAAATATAGCGGCTGCTTTAATATTAAAGCTGCTTCTATGTTGAGAAGGAACCTTCATCTACCCACTCCACCACCCTCCCTGCCTCCACTGTCCTACCCTTACTCTGGGTTACTGGTAGTTGAATCACTGCAGACAATTTATAGAGCAGAATAATGTTGTCCTTTCATTCCGATGAGGTATTTATGATGCGAATACAAATACAATAGTTGATCAGTGGTCGGGGTTGTGTTTGCATCACCGCGCGGGTTGGACAAATATTCGTGTCCAGTTACTGCCACCGCTGGCACAAGCAATGGCCAATACACTGAAAATGATGTACCTGAGGCACGATTTATCCACAGTGAAATTACACAACATCTTACCGTTTTTGCTTGAACCCAACGTTGACATTTCTCTAAGTCTTTGTTAGGCTTTTTAAATGGAAGTCATCTCACACCTTGCATATCTTCACGGTCTGCATACCTGCTATCACTTTTACAAAGGCCATAACAACAATGTCGAGTGGATCCTTTCTTTAAAGACTTCCCTATTGTACTTTGAACAACACCTGTACTTAATTCCATTGTCCCCAGACGTACTTTGTTACGGTGTGGTGGTTCCGCTTTATCATTCAAACTGGTGCAGTGAACCAAAATGTTTGTCCTACTTTGCAGCTGACAACACTCGCGTGATGATGATGATGATAATGAAGTAAAGTGGCAAATGACTTTGCACTGGGAAAGGAGAGGAGAGAGAGAGAGAAGTAAAGCATGGAAACGGGAAGAAAAGTGGGAGGGGTAGATAGCAGGTGGGCTGTCCACCTAGCGGAGACGAGTTGAAATGATGGGGTGGTGGCCGCACGCAGCACACGCCCGCCCGCTCAGGGAGGGAGGTTGAGGGGGGGGGAGGGATGGAAGCTAAGCTAGCTAGGTATTCATTATTGTAATGGGTGTTAATTTTTGTTTGTCCGATGGTGGTGTTATTTGTTCACATATATGTGTAAAGTGGGTCTTGTTCTGCTATGTCAGCATGGAGGCTCTTGGGCCACCAGCTGTGTGTTTTAGATGTTCCTTCTTCTTTTAACTTGGAGAATAATGGATCCTCCATCTCTTCAAGTTTGATCCATATTCTCTGTGCTTGGCTGTGTGTACGTATGTTCAGTGGTTCGATATTGTATAATTCGTGAAGTTCTTGTATTTTGGTGGTGTATGGCGGGAGTTGCTTTGATGCTCTACGGATAGCTTTGTTTTGTACTGCTTGAAGTTTAAGTTGGCTGGATTTGCTGATCGTGTTGAGTGGTATTGGTGGATAATCTAGGTGAGGGCGGACAAGTGCTTTGTATAGGTGTAGTTGAATTTTGGTGTCCATTTTGCTGAATCGTCGTAGTTTCGTGAGTTGTGATTGGGCAGTCTGTTTGCGTTGTTTTACGTGTTTTGCTATGCCTGTTCTTGTTATTGTGAGTCCCAAAATTTTGCCTTCGTTGGAGTATTGTATAGGTACGTTGTTGACTGTGATTGGTGCTGGGTTTATTTTGGCAATGTGTATTATCATTAGTTTCTGTGTATTGGTTTGAATTTTCCACTTTTTTTCATATTCGTTGATTTGCTCGATGGCCTGGGCTGTTTTCCGTGCCATCATCTGTTTGCCCTTGCCTGGATGTCTGATGATTTGGGTGAC